TTCCTTAAATTAGATAATAATAAAATGGTTTAAAAAATTACTGTCACATTTCTAATATATTCACAATAGAAAATAAAATTCCAAATTTCACTAGAAATTAAATCTTTGAATGATTTTAATATCAAAACTAAAATTTGATTTCTTTCATTTAGAAGTTGGTTGAAGTTATAAATTCAATTTTTTCCCTTTAATTTAATCAGAGAAAATTTAATATTTTCATTGGCTTTATTTAATATCTATTCTATCTACACAATCAGTTTTTATTTAAATATTATATTTTACATTCTTGAAACCGTATTGGTGATTATTTTTGTCGTTTTGAACACTAGGCAATCTTCATTTTTATTCAATTTTTAGTTGAAGATTGCCTAGTGTTCGTGCGTCTGAACTATATGGTGTTCAAAACGACAATATATTTGTCTTTTAAGTTTTAATAATATAATATTTATGTACTATCAAAATTTGACTTATAGGAATCAACAGGGTAAAAATTATTTAAAGTTTTTCTTTATTAATAGAAACATTAATTAATGTAAGATTTCTCTAAAATTAAAGATTAAATGATTTGTAGGTACCATAATCCAAGGCTATCTGCTAATTTTAACTTGTAGAAAGGAAAACTTGTTATTAAACAAATTCATAACTATAAGTTTTCCTTTATCTAAATTTACCATGAGCATCTTTAGAAAGTGTGAAAAATCCTTTGCATGCTACTGACATATTCTGTCGGTAGCATATGAAGGGAGAAAGTCCGTCACGAAATCAAGGTGTAATTCAGTTTGGTGTCGGGATGCAGAGGCAATTTCTTTCTTCAGCTTATGGTGAAGCACAATAGGAAGACGGGAGAAGCTCTCCATGTCCTTGAATTTGTGGTTTTTATAACTTTCTCAGATCGACCATTCTGATTGGTTGATCCTTCTCATCCCCGTTTCCAATTGGTTGTCACTCATTACTAAGTGTAACAAGATCAGAACCCTGATTGTGGGATGAGTCAACATCGTCTGTCAATTTGATCCCAATCAAAGATGGTCACTCTTAGGACTTACATCATTCCATTGTTATAACATGAGAAGTACACTCTTTTCTTATAATTCCATCAAACATGTCCTTTTATGGGCATGAAATTTCTATCTTTTACTTACCTTCTATTATTGTATTTTATTATTTTACAATTATCTTCAGTGTCTTGATTATCCTTTCCCTGATCTATTATTGTCCATAGAGCTTGTTTTGACAACTATGGTTTTAACCAACTCCACAAATTTTTTAAAAATGTAACCATTGCAACTGCAGGCATTGGCAAGGGATGCCAGTATATATAAATGTACCACTTTTCCTAATGATTGGTGATTTATAAATCTATGTAAAGAAAATTGCAGATAGATTTTATTAAAAAATATTTGGTAACTATTTTCACTATGCTGTATAGAAAGTAAACTAAAAACAAGAAAAGCTGTCTTTTGTTGTTTTTAATCTAAGTTACATGTTATAAAATGCTGGTACAGGTATACCACGACTTACGTCGTTTCGAGTTACGTCATTCCCGATTATATGTCATTTGTCAAAAAAGTATATGAAAAAATAAAAATCAAGTTTAAGTCATTTTATTCGACTTTATGTCTGTCTGTCACAAATATTGAAGTCGTAATATCACTAGAAAAGCATTTAAAGCACATAAAATCATATTAAAATACAGTAGAACCTTGATTATCCGGACTAATTGGTAATGAAGGTGGTCCGGTTAAGGAAAAATCCGGATAATCAAAACAAATACTTCAATTTGTCTTCTAATGATAATACAACGCGTTTTCTTTTCGATGACATATCGGTAATATTAAAAATAAATACTTTATTTAAATCATGATCAAATTTTCAAGAAACAAACGTTCGTATTGAATTTGGTCTACTACTGACCAGTGCTAACAGACTAGCTATTGTTTAAAAGGCCCTCTGGTGGCGCAAGAAGACAAATTTTATAAAATAAAAAGTAATTGAAACTGCATTTTTATGAATAAAAATTTGACAAACTGTTTATCGTTTTATGACCAGTAAAATTTTTTCGTCGTGTTCTTGGCTTTTAAGTAATGCATAAACCTTCAAGGTGCGAGGTGTGAGGCCCTTCGGACCACGAGGCATAGGCGGTGGCCCACATTGTCCATGCCTTACGCCGCCCTTGGTCATAGAAATGATGTAATTTGAATATAAATTATTTATAAATACGTATGTCAATTTATATTTTTATAACGATGCAAAATATATTTAAGAGTTTACGACCACTGTGCCGGGTGAGACGTTGTTGAAACAAAAAATGTCATGCATTCCATCACGTACATAAACAGTGTCGTAATTCGCCAAGTGCAAATCAGCAAATTCGTAAAATTTTTGTTTATTTTGAACAATCCGGATAATCGAAAATCCGGATAATGGAGGTCCGGATAATGGAGGTTCTACTGTATNTCTTGCACATATCACTTTATAAATACAAAATGCTTCTGCATGCCGTACATGTCAGCAATTCCCTATTTTTTGGACAATTTAAGCTTGGTCCCATTCAATACTTTGTAACATCTTGATTGGCAATAGTATACACCACTAAACAGAGGCTGGGTTGATTTCCTAATGTTGCCCTGGTGTTCTTTTAAACATTGTTGCAAGGATCTCATAAGGCAAGGTAATGCAACACATGGGCAATCTGCTGAGGAGAGTGGCTTCTTGGGAGAACTTTCAAGGGAAACCAGCTCCTATTTGGGTGTTAGACACATGAAGAAAAGAATTGTACAGTTAGAAAACTGCACACAATCAGTCCTTTGGTCAGGCACAATTCTGCAATCAACTACCTGTGTTCGGTGGTCTTATCCACTTGACCCTTTTGAAAATGAAATATATAAAATCAAAATATCAAACACCATAAAAATATTAACTTGTACTGGAAGTAGAAAGAATTAATCAAAATTATCACCTTTTTAAATATTCCAGCAAATAATTTAATATCGTAAAAACGTTTTTGATCGTCTTTAACGATCTTCATCAGTTAAAAAGAACATTAAAGAAATAGAACAAAAGTTAAAATTATGAAAAAATAATAACTGTGCTTGAGTAATGATGAGCGCTTAACAGAATGAATACAAAAAGTTAGGGATATAATTCTGTTAAGCGCTCATCATTACTCAAGCACAGTTATTATTTTTTCATAATTTTAACTTTTGTTCTATTTCTTTAATGTTCTTTTTAACTGATGAAGATCGTTAAAGACGATCAAAAACGTTTTTACGATATTAAATTATTTGCTGGAATATTTAAAAAGGTGATAATTTTGATTAATTCTTTCTACTTCCAGTACAAGTTAATATTTTTATGGTGTTTGATATTTTGATTTTATATATTTCATTTTCAAAAGGGTCAAGTGGATAAGACCACCGAACACAGGTAGTTGATTGCAGAATTGTGCCTGACCAAAGGACTGATTGTGTGCAGTTTTCTAACTGTACAATTCTTTTCTTCATGTGTCTAACACCCAAATAGGAGCTGGTTTCCCTTGAAAGTTCTCCCAAGAAGCCACTCTCCTCAGCAGATTGCCCATGTGTTGCATTACCTTGCCTTATGAGATCCTTGCAACAATGTTTAAAAGAACACCAGGGCAACATTAGGAAATCAACCCAGCCTCTGTTTAGTGGTGTATACTATTGCCAATCAAGATGTTACAAAGTATTGAATGGGACCAAGCTTAAATTGTCCAAAAAATAGGGAATTGCTGACATGTACGGCATGCAGAAGCATTTTGTATTTATAAAGTGATATGTGCAAGACATTATCAATTATAAGGTTGTTAAAACTCTGTCGGGAGCTTGGAGATCCTTTTTTGTATGCCCTCTATATAAATGATGCAAAGCCTTGCGATGGCTATAGCATGGACTTTTTAATTATTTGCTTTAACAGATGTGTGTTCATTGTTTAATGGCATTTTGTATTTAATTAGTTGTAAATTGATAAATATAAAACTTAATGTTTTATATTTATTTTATTTGTGTGTTATCATTTTTGAATATTTTTGTCCAAACTGCTTGAAGAAGGCTGTTAAAAATGTCTGAAAATGCATCAAAAATTTGCTAACTAAAACATTTTCAAAGTTATTCGAGTGTGCTTGTTTTATTGCCTTATCCTATCAATCCACTCCAATCCATTTTCATAAAAGTTTGTGTAGAAAGGAAATGTTTATGTATTTGCTTCTACATGCAAATGTATAAAACTTCCTTTGCACACTGATTTTTAAAGTTATCATCTGGCAGATTTGTAAATATTTAACAAATTTGCTTCTTTAAATAGATTTTTATAGAAATCATTTGCAGCAAGTTCTGTTAGTTCAAAACTTTTCAAAAGTCAATTAGAACTAGTTCAAAGCATGCAAGGTATAACGTTGACGATAAAACATGTCAGGGAAAACAAGCTGTGTGGGCTGGATAAATATGATTCAAGAGTTGTATTTGACCTGCAGGCCATAGGTTGGAGAACCCTGTTTTAATTTATTAAAATAACTGTTTTCCTACTTTTATATCTTGTTCTTTTTCATTTAGTAAGTAAAACTATTTTTAATTCATTTGAAATATTTGTTCAACTGTAACACTTAAAATGTATAACTTTGGATAATAGGATGGGAAAAAACTGTTTAAATTCAGGTAACCAAAAAGATTTATTAAGGAACATTTTTGGCCTCTAATCAGGCCTTACTCAGCTGACATGCAAATTGAAATGTTATAGTATTTGCAATCAAACTATATGATTTTTTCATTATTAAGAGAGATTTTTTAATTGCTTATAAGCAATACTAATTTAATATTAATATTTTAAAATTACTAATTTAACAATTAATTAGCCCAATAAAATACTAATAATTGTTTGTTAATAGCTAAAAATAAGATATATTAATATAATTCTTAATAAATTAAATTTATAATATATGAACTATATTTTGAACATTAAATTATTGTTTTCTATTATTACAGGAAAGAATTTTAAAATCTGGAGGTTATATTACATCAGATAGCCTAGGTAGGAATCTAGTAAATGGCAGACTGGATATGACTCGTAGTCTCGGTGACATTGAACTTGCACAGTATGGTGTCATAGCTCTTCCCGATACAAGATCTCTGCAGGTATATATAATAAATAAATAAATTTAGGTTATATATAGTTGACTTTACATCATTTTTATAAACCTAGGTTAGTAGTTTACTTTTCTTTCTTCTATGTGTATTTTTCCTTTTAATGAAAGAGAGATTGAATTTTGTGATATCTATCCTTCTCAGCCACCCTAAAATGATTATAATAATAATGTATTGTTCTAATGAGCCTTTAATATATAAGAAATTATTTTAATTTCATTTTTTTAAATTAAATTTTTTCATATTTTAAGAACCTGAAAATAATTACATGTATGAAGTTGTATACGTATTCAAAAAGAAAAAACTTAATTATACCATTCATCTTCATCATTTCTGAACATTAGTTTTATTTATACAGGATATTCTATTTAATTCTAATACAGTAGATTTGTGATTTATATACTCTGCAAAAAATTATAAGAATAGAAATAAAATCTTCGTGTGATCTACCACCATACCCATATCCAGTGTTTTTGAAGCAGTCATTGAAATTATAGAACTTACAATATCCTAAACGGTATACCATCATCTCAAACATTAAATTGTTATATTGTAGATAATTATAAAATAAATTAATAGAAAATCAAGTGAAATAAAAAAAATGAAATACTGACAGGGAATATCCTGAACTGAATACTATGCCATTACAATTTCTTGGATATCAAAGAAAACAATCAATGTGGCTTGTTTTTTGTGCCATTCAAAAATGCATGCACTCTTTGCTCAGACAAATATTGAAGAAATCTGCAATGGAAATTTTTTAATTTCACAAGAAACTTGATGTTAACTTGCTTTTCACTCTTGTTTTCTTACCCTTGATTAGAAAATGTAGGAGTACATCTATATTTGATCAAGGTCCACTCCTACTGAGTAAAGCGATGAGGTTGAGCTTTGTCTCTCCCCTCATACATTCAAAGAGTAATGCTATAACTTGGAAACTTTTTTCTTCTTTTGGCCAGGGCAAGTTATTTTCACTAACCAAAAAAAACCACATCATTTCTTTATTAACTAAAAGCTGTCTTAAATATTTTGTATTTCATTTATTCAAAAAAAATTGAGAAAAGAGATCTGCTTATGCAGAGGGAACCCACTCTACTCTCAGGCCCTGTATAAGCTCTCAATCATCCTGCCTAGTGCACAAGCTGATAATATGTTTGTATAAAATTCTTAAACACACACACAAACAACATATTGTGCCATACCACATACATCGCACTATAAGTACAGTGGTGGGAAAAGTTTGGAATATGACATGCAAGCACATTACACTTGTGTACACTAAGAAAAACAAATTACACTGATACAACAAAAAAATCTATTAAATACACAGTGTATCTGAATATATTAACTAAGATCTCTTTGCAGTGCAAAAATTGTGGAATTTCCATAGTTTGTATCTTATGTTCCAGAACAAAAAATGCAAGAACATGAAAATTAATACTTAGTATGGCCCCTTAGCTTGAATTTGTGTTGGCATAGATTGTACTAGTTTTTGCACAAAAATACTTGATCAAGATCATTGTATAGCACTCTTCAGCTTCAGATGCTGTCTTAAGTGTATGAAACAAATTCCATATAGGATTTAAATCTGGCTTTTAGAAACTATGGAATGGTCAGCTCAATCTGTTGTTTACAAGTACATGACAACTGCTTTTGCCCTGTGACATGGAGCATTGTTATTTTGGAAGATTACAGGAATGTCACCAAAGTGTCATTCCAAGCATCGAGGACCAAAGTTATCAAGAATATTAACATACATTTCTGAGTTGATAGTTCCTTTAAGTATGCACAGTTTTCCAAAGTTATGGATGAACATGCATGTCCATATCATTACTGACTGTGAAAACTTGACTTACACACTTCCCCTTTTCCACATGCTTGTGCTGTCATCATCACTATAGTCTAATTTTTGACTTGTCACTAAATATGACTCTGATCAAAGATGACAGAATGGACAAAAAGCCTTAGAACATTGTCTCAAGCCATTTTTCCAGTACAGCTTCATCACATAAGGCTTCTTGTTTGCTTGCATTTGTGGGGTTACTCCTTCTGGAAAGCTATTGCAGATATTTGTCTAATGCTGAAACATGTGTTTTGCCAATGACTGTCACAGATTTGTATCAAGGTGTTGTCTTGTCTTCTGGGGGTCTCTTGATACTTTTGTTCATATTTTGCTAACAGTAAACTAATTTTGTGACTTTATACTGTGATTTTCTGTCTATTAATGCAACAGAACATTTAAATCTTTGGTTAACAACTGGGTTGAGGTGTCATGCTATATGGTGTATTGGTGATATTACAAACACAGTCTTCACTCCAAAACCTGTTCCTATATCTCTTTTTATTTAACAAAATTGAGAAATTCATTAATCAAAACTCACTCAAGCACCAATATCGGTTCAATATTATAACAGGGATTACTAATACAAATGTTTTTGTCCATTTAAAATAGATGTCCTCAGGTAATTTAAATGAAGCTTTCTGTTTTGCATTCTCCATTCCTTTTAACTTACCTGAGGATGTCCATTTTAAATGGATGAAAGCATTCATATTAGTAAATCTTGTTATAATATTGAACTGATATTGGTGTTTGAATGAGTTTTTTAAAAATTATGAATCATGTTTTGTCAGATGTTTCATTGTATAGTTTTCTGGAATGTTTAGTTTGCATAAATTGACATTTTTGGTACTATATTGTTTTCATATGTTTTTTCAAAAAATATTTTTAACAATAATCCAAGTAGTATAGAGACCTTCTCTGCTTACAACTAGTAAATTGATTAAGAGCCTCAAAGGAAAGATAGATTATTCACATGCTAATTGTGTTCCTGTGGTTGTAAAGGATGTATGAAGACGTCAAATTTTTATTTGTAGTCAGTCTTCAGTTTGTAATTATTAATTGTTCTTAATCTTGAATGATCCCATACCTTGAGTGATTTTTTCTCACCTGATTCAATTTTGTATACAGTAGACCTCCCTATAACACTGTAGATAATTCCGTGTTATATGAATTCCACGTTGTAAAAGTCACTTAGATTTTACAAATATGTGAGCCGTTCACAGCTTGGCACACGTATTTGTAAAATCTAAGTGACTCGTACCACATGGAATTCGTATAACACGGAATTATCTACAGTGTTATAGGGGTCTACTGTACTGGTAAAATATTCATAAAACAGAACTTCAGCAATAACACTTGTTTGGTGATTCACTTGAGACTGAACATTTATTATGTGGAATATCTCCCTAAAAAATGAAAAGATAATCATTCCATTTGTGTTTCATGTCTATTTCATGACAAAGCAGTTGACAAACGTATGTTTTGTCAACTGCTAGTATTCAAATCTGACTGTACAATCATGAGGCATTGAATAAAGTAAGTGTTCAGTCCCAAGTGAATTATCCTGTACTACAAATAGGTATTGGTTAATATTTAATTGATATTTTCAAGATACAACAAAAAAATCTGTGTAATTTTCTTTTTAGTTAAACTTGAATGCAAGTGTACTTGTATATCATGATTCCAAATTATAGTGCTGAAAAAATCCTAGCACTGTAATTTATCTATTCTCTACAGATACTATATTTTTCAGTGTATGTATTTTGTAAATGCTGTGATCAGAACAAGTCCATGAAATAAAGTATGTTAACACAAACCTCTTAGACATAGCTGTTGTGATGAATTGTTTTATCTGCAAATTATAACTCAATCATAATCATAGAAAACAACACAAAAAAATATATTGTCTCAGGTATGTATGTATGTATAATTTAGTTCTTGGAAACTTAATAGTTTGTTTGGGTGCATACTTTTGATATAATATATTTGTTATTTGATTATGTCAATGTAAGCATCATAAATTGAAAGAAATATATGAGTTTAAGATTTGAATACAGTAACTAAGATAAATTTTTTAACAATATCATAAACATTTGCAATTACTTTCAACAGATACAATTCTGTCGTCTTCAGGTACAGATGCCCGACTTAATTTTTTAAAGACCATTCTCAGGCTTAAAAACTTTCAATTTAATGATTTAGAAAAGTAAAGGAAGCTATATAGAACACCGTAAGAACAATTTTCAAATTGAAAACAAAAAGTAAATAAGTACATATAATAGATATATAAAACTTACCCGTACAGACACAAAAAACAGAAATTAGAATGGTTTTTCTAGATGGTTAAGCAGCTGAGTTTGAATAGAATTATATTCAAATAAATATAAGTTTGATTTGATTACATATAGCTTCTGTGAATATCTGTTTTGTAGCTATTCTTCATATTTCTATATCTGTTTTATGTTTATTGAGATATGACAGATTTTTGGCTGCAGCTCCAAAATTGTGTTTGATAAAATTTATTTGGGTGTTTTTGAGAAGTACTTGACAGACACTTGATTTCTGCATAAGGTCCTCTTGTTATTAGAGTAATCTGCAGAGAGTGGGTTGGGTGTAATATGGATAGAAATAGTATAAAGGGAAGAATCATTTAATTTAAACATTATTTTAGATACTAAATAATACTACTATAGATAAAGATTTAATACTTGGTGTAAACTAGACAGTGTATAATAATAATGCAGTTGTTAGATGTAATGGGAATATTTATTTTAATCAATTCTGTAACAGAATTGATTAAAAAAAGTGCATCTGATACAGGTTGGTATCTATATAGTTTGTTAAAAATAAAATAACTTTGATAGATTGAAAATAGAAATTGTCAGTGATTTGATACATCAAGAGGACATTCTAAATAGTAGTAGACCATCAACAGAATTGGCAAAAAAAGTGCTTGATCAGGAATATCAACCAATCTGGGCCAAAACAAAACTATTAAAAGGATGCAATATTCAAAAAGAAGAATTTTTATTTGGGAGAACCTATATATATAGACTCTTACACCGTGCAATACAACAACTCTAGAAATTCCACAAATATGGACAACACTATTTAAACATTATAACCTGCATTTCTAGAGCTTCAGCATTGCTTAGCACTTATTGTTTGTGAATACTACATCATTCATACTGCTGTGCAAAAATATTCCAATTTCAATTTAAATTGGTGTTCTATCTAGCTTCTTTGTTCAAATCAACAAGCTATTCGAAAGTTTCAAAATATGTTATCGAAAGTGCTTGTGAACTTATCCAAACTCTAAACAGTCACCGCTCGTAACGCCACAACACGTAAGTGTAACCTTTAATATTATCCATGAATTTTAAATAAGCAAAACAGAGCAAGGTAAATAGTTCTTTTGCATTTAATTAAATGTTTTTTGGAGCGTCTCCATCTCATCATATCATTTATCCGTTTTTCAAATACTGTGATGAATTTGAACACATTTCTTACTGTGTCAGATTCGGTCATGGAGCATGTTTTAAAACTTCAGCACTGGATTTAACCATTTGAGCAGGCTCTGTAACAGATCTTGTGTCATTTATTCTGGTCAGCCATTTTAGGAGCCAAACCCAGTGATGTGAGCAGTTTCCTGATTATTTTTTCTTAAAAATTGGTGTTGTACATGTGACTATTGTAAACTTCACTGCTGTACAGCACTGTTTTTAAATTCAAGTATGATAACCTTTGTTCCCTCCTACCTAACAATAGCCTCTTTTATTCATAATAAATTCTTTTACAACTGACATTTGTGTTCATCCTTTGTGAATGTCCTCCATAAGTTCCCTTAGCCAAGGGAAAGGGAAAAAGTTGAGAATGAGTAACTGGAATAACCAAATATTATATAGGCAGCATCTGCTGCATGCTGTCAAACAGGCTAAGGGAACATATGGAGGACATTCACAAGGCACTTGCAGAAGAAATGATTGTGAATAAAAGGGGCTATGATTAGATGGCATGATTATTGTCAACTTCACTGCTGTCCTTAATTCATGCATGATAACCTTTGTTGCCTCCCATCAGAGACCCAACAAATGTTATCACGCCAAAGTTATTGCCAAAGTATATTATTATAAGTGACATGTGTACAGCACCAATTTTGAACAAAAAACAAACTGTCTACATCACTGGATTTGGCTCCTAAAAATTGAATTAAAAATTAAAATTTTAAATTTTCCAATGACTTCTATAGAGCACATAGTGAGGGAATGTTTTTTTATATTGAGTTATATAGTGCATCTTTCCATGTTACTAATTTTAATAAAAGAATATAATGTAGTAGCCATTAATTTAGAAAACTTAATGCAGCAATAATAAATATTTGTATATTGTAAATTGTTTATCCCTTTCCATGTCTACTACTACATTATATTAAAAATATATCAAATTTATGGTCTTAAAATTTACACATTATTGTTTAGTCAAATATATAAATTCATAAACTAGTTATATATTTTTTTTGACGAGATTATGTCTCATCTCTAAAATTGCACTGCTGTCATCACCTTAGAGGTATGAAGGAGTAGATGTCAGGATATGCAATTTGGCACAGAGTATTTGGTGCCCAAGTCATGTGCACATAAAATAAACCATACTTGTAAGTAGTCAGGGGACTGAGAACTGGGCCAAAAGAAAATACGAAATGCTAAGACTGTTTCTACAAACGGGCGAGTGCGAGATTTGTGCAGGCATTGCTCGTGCTCTCCGAGACATAGTCTCGTTCCAAAAATGGCTTTGCCATTTTACTTGTGTGAATCTATTTTTATCTATATAGGTGAAACACGGAAAAGATTCATTTGTGATACTCACAACTGATGGAATTAATGTCGCATTAAGTGATCAAGAAATTTGTGATAGTGTTAATAACTGTACAACGCCCGCCGAAGCTGCCAATTTTATCACAGACCAAGCCATGCAATTTGGATCCCAGGATAATGCAACTGCAGTAATTGTGCCATTTGGTGCCTGGGGAAAATTTCAGAATTATAGTGGCATTAAATATAATTTTGGTCGAACTCTCACCCATAGCAGCAGATATTAGGTAATAGTGCGATTTATTAACTCAGTCTGAAAATGTAAGATAAATATAATATCTTCCTCAAAAATGTGTTTTAAAATAAATTATGTATATTGTAATTTCATAAATGGATAATTTTTGTAATATTGTTATGAGAAAAATGTTTGAAATTAAATTAAATTTTATAAAATTAATGTTTTTTTTTTAATGCACTTTCTCATTTTCTACACAATGTTTTAAGATAGAAGCTTTTCTGAAACTATCCCTGTTATTTTTTTTTAATAAAAGTGACCTCTGAAAATAAAAAAGTATCTTATGCTGAAGATATTTCAAATTCAAAATATGATTTTAAAAAATACTTTAGAAAAAACTGTTGTATGTCCTAATTAGTGTTTGTAATGGTACTTTCCAGTTAGCATGGTGCCAGTCAATTGATGCAATCCAATTTGCGTGTATTAGGTTGATAATTGGTTCAGAGAGGATTTCTCAAATGGGTAACTATGGAAACATACATAGCTTAGAACTGAAGTTATTAATTACAATCACTATTATTTTTTAATAATTACAATATGTAATCTCTAGAGGAAATAACCTAAATGATAGAATCAGTAAAAACTACTACTATGCAGGTTTTACTTGTTTATTTTTCTTTTATAAACAAGAGCTGAAGATAAAATTTGAAATATGTCAATGTAACTTTAAATATTTGCAAAATTTTTATATTTAATTATTAGAAAAATGTACTTAAGGTATACCAAAAATAAAGAAGTTGACAATGGATACATCTTCTGGATTACCAGTATCAAGAAAAATGTGTTGACATGATAATCAAAATAGTAACATCAAGTCAATAGCATAACAACTATTACGTCTCCTATGAAAAATGCTAATTTGCTCTCAACAGCATGGAAAATCTTATATGATTCTCCACAAAAGTATCAATAAGAAGATCCTACTGACCTCAATTTTTATTTATGGGAGTAATTTAAGATATACATTATAACATTTCAAATATAAAAATTATTTCAATTAATTGTCTAGAGTGATATGAAAAGAACATACCAAATAGAATACAAGTATAATGTATTTGAAGCAGGGTGGTCAAACTACTCAAACATTTGTCTTTATTTCCAGCAAATAAATAAGTTGCTGGAAATGAAGAAAAGGTTATTTTGTGGGTATAAGTAAATTTTCCAGATTGGGTTATTTATAATCATTGCATTAGAGTTTAGAGTTTAATCAAGATAAATTTTTGCAGAAAATGTTGCAAAATATTTTAATTTTATTAATAAACAAGTCACTTCCATTTATATCTCAATGCTCTCATGTTAGACATTATGTTAAGAAATGGAGAACATTGAGATACAGCATTTTATTAATTGTATTTCTTTAAAGTTTTGTTGCATGCGTGGCTGCACGCACCATATTGCTATGGAAAAATGCTCATGGTTAAATAGAGAAATTGCCAATCATACCATTAATATATAAAATCTGTTTGACACTATGCTTAATTTAACATCAAATTTTATAATAAGTAACAAAGAAAAATAATTTCTGTTATGTATGTAAATGCATAACATGTATTTTATATTTGTCATTTATTATAAAATTTGTTGATAAGCATAGTGTCAAATGGCTTTAAAATATAAAAAATTTGCAAGTTATAAATGTGAAATTTATTTGTTGATAAATATACTAAATATCAATTGCCCATGTAGTAGTAATAGTAAAAAACTGTTGTTTTCTTTGAAACAACACAAAAGATTTTATAATTATGTTGCCATTGTCATTACTATTTTTTTTTAGTAAAGCTGGCTCCACACTTTTGATATTTGCCAATTGCTGAATAATTGTGTCCCCTGTTCAGCACAATATATTTATAAGGAATGGGAAAAAGCAAATACCAAATAGTCAAAGGATATTACATTCTTCAAAAATTTAATCTATTTACTGATTACTGATTTATCCCATCATAAAGTGTAGCTAAGTTCAAAATTTTATAAAAATTATAACAAATTTCTAATTTGTTTGATTTCTTTTTCTTTACAGAAAAAATGTAATTGTTCTGTAAAGAACAATTACATTTTTTTCTATTAGTATATAAAATATTTTTATGACTATAAATAGAAAAATGTAATTGAAATTAAAAGTCATTAGGAGGTTTTTTTTTTACTTTCATATATTTTATATTTCTAATAGTATTGATATTTATAGAATTATATTCTGTAAGATATCATTGTACAAGCAAATTTGGAAGCTTAAGAGTTTGTAATATTATGAATGTAGTTGAGAACGAGCAATCAATTTAGATTACCAAAACAGTTTAAAAAAGACATTGGCCTTATTTATAGGCAAACATATTGAAATTCATTTTCATTCTGAAAGAGTTGAGGATAAGAAGAAATTAATGATTTGTTGACATTAATTATTCTGTTAAAAATTGTCTTACATCATACTATTGAAAATCTGAATTTTTTCAAGTTAAATTTTTAACCAATTAATTTTATATTAATTATATCCTTAAGAAATTTAAGAATATTTCATAAAAAATTTTATAAGATATTTATACTCTATTATAAAGACTACAGTATTATTTTTACAGTGTATAATGGAATTTTTTTATTTTTTAAACACTCCTCTATTGTAAATGACAAATAAAGTTTTAACTACCCTAGTAGTTATGTAACAAAATTATTATTTTTTGTATTTTCTGTTTTTGTGAAATAAATACTTTAATAATTTTAATTATACTTAATTTATTTTGAAACTTTTTTAATCAGGTAAAAATATTGAAGTTTGTCAAAATTTTAATAATAAAATCACTAACCATAAACAATACTGCTTCACGGTTGTTGATTTTTAAACATGTTTCAATTAAAATTCGTAATTTTAGTTACATTGTGAATTCATATTTTTAAAACATAATATTATATATATGTTAAATTAATGCATTTTACTAAAATTTTCCTTCATCTTGTGTTGTACAATTGATTTAGTATTCCTATTGTAAATTTTTAATTGGACAAATTATTAAAATAAACAAATTTGTTTATCAAAAATGAAGAGATGATAGAAGACTAAATATGTATATTTATATTAGTACACATTTTATCTTTATGTTTTATATACCAATATAAATGTGTGCAAGTTCTGTTGCATATAATGTTTTTGAATAGAATAAAAGTAAGAGATGAATTTTATAATGTTTAAAACTGAAAATTAATAGAGAAGTAACAGAAAACAGTTTACCTTGAAAAATTATTTAGAATATAAAGTTTAATTAACTTTCTTTTCATTGCTATTAATTAGAGAGTTTTCCAACATTGATAATTTGCATAGTCTTATGTTCAAAGTCTACTTTATTACAGAATGTAGTATTAAATAATTTTGATTACAGAGTGGAAGCAACATTTTACTTAAACATATAATTAAAGCTGATAAATTTTAATAATAAGTAATAATTTGTTTATGAAAATACACGTAAACATAATAATTCAATATTTTATGTTTATTATTATCCTTGCTTTTATTAAGATATTNATGCATTTTACTAAAATTTTCCTTCATCTTGTGTTGTACAATTGATTTAGTATTCCTATTGTAAATTTTTAATTGGACAAATTATTAAAATAAACAAATTTGTTTATCAAAAATGAAGAGATGATAGAAGACTAAATATGTATATTTATATTAGTACACATTTTATCTTTATGTTTTATATACCAATATAAATGTGTGCAAGTTCTGTTGCATATAATGTTTTTGAATAGAATAAAAGTAAGAGATGAATTTTATAATGTTTAAAACTGAAAATTAATAGAGAAGTAACAGAAAACAGTTTACCTTGAAAAATTATTTAGAATATAAAGTTTAATTAACTTTCTTTTCATTGCTATTAATTAGAGAGTTTTCCAACATTGATAATTTGCATAGTCTTATGTTCAAAGTCTACTTTATTACAGAATGTAGTATTAAATAATTTTGATTACAGAGTGGAAGCAACATTTTACTTAAACATATAATTAAAGCTGATAAATTTTAATAATAAGTAATAATTTGTTTATGAAAATACACGTAAACATAATAATTCAATATTTTATGTTTATTATTATCCTTGCTTTTATTAAGATATTAATCTAGTTCTTTTTTTTGTTATTTTTTAATAATAATTTTAAAGATAACAGTTAAGCATTTCTATTGAACTACTCAAGGATACAATATGATCAAGTGTGATGACTCATAAAAGGCTTGTTATCGAATTTGATTATCTTTTATCTTAAAAGTTTTACTTGCTAGAACTGGTTACTTAATCAATAGGTGCTGAAAGTGTTTTCAGTTAAAAGTTTATTCAACTGTCGTGAAAAGACCAGAAAATATGAAAAAAAAATTCCATTATGAGGCATAAAAACAATAAATATTTTATACAAGAAACAGTATTGTACTGTAATTCTACCAGAGTAAAGATTTGAATGCATTAGTATAAAACATTTTATAGATAAATATAATAAATTAAAGGATATATTTGTAATTTTATCATATAATTCTAGACTTCAAACTGGATGAATGCATGATTTTAAATTTATCTCCTATTTGATAATATTTATCTCCTCTTTGGTTATTATTGCGTGTTTCATATCGAAATATTAATAAATATAAATTAATATTTATATATATATATAAATAACAGCCAAAAATAAATGTTAGTAACCAGTTNTATTATGAAACAATTATTTAAAGAATTTGCTGTTGAATGTTTTCTTATCTGAGAATGCAAAAGATACATTATGCTCAGTTTTATAAATTAATATTTATATATATATATATAAATAACAGCCAAAAATAAATGTTAGTAACCAGTTTGGTAGCAGTAAACATAAAAATCACTATCAGATTTCCTTTTGTTTTAACTTAAAAAACAAAAAAAAAAATGTAAAAAGATTTTATATTTTACACATCCTGTTAAAGAAATTATAAAACGTAAAAAAAATTCCTTTCTTGACCTTTTTCACGTAAAAATAAATAAATAAATGGTTTAGAGCTCGATAATAAAGGAAGCTTTAAAAAAAAAAATTGCAAAATACAATCAGTTTTCAAGGTGAATCCAATCTCAATTATGACATAACTGGTACAGCAATATTGCAAAATTGGGACAGCTAACTATCACGTAATGAGCATCTCGAAACTAAAGACCCGGTTGGAAGAAGAAAATCATACGTATGAAATTAGAACAAGCTCTCCTTTTATATTCGGCATCGCAGATAAAAATCTCGGCTTGAAGTTTAGTAACAAACCCACCGTAAATTACACGTTTTTCTCGTATTGCTCCGTACAGAAAAAAAAAACTGCTTGGAAATTACTATCAAAAAACATATTACACTCGAATAACATCGGTTCTATAGTCGACAACAAGTGATTATTGCCGGATGAACGAACTTCGATTGATTTTTATTATATTGTCTTCATTCAACCGAGACGAATCTAAACTGTATTATTTAACATTACTTAATATTGTCGGATCCGAATGAAAAAAATATATATATATTTGGATGTAGCAATGCTCATTTGTTAAAGCAATTTCGTCATAGACTAGAGGAGGAAAAATTAACTCATGGGTGAAAATTTCGTCTATATATAGATTTATATCATTAGTCCGTTAATATAGAGAGCAAGCCATACGTACATTTTCATACGGCAATATTTCCTAATAATTTAAGAAACCTTGTAACACATTTCTAACGTCCCCCTCCTCCATTATATTGTAGTACACGCTACGTAATTATTATTCTTGGTGTCGACTCGTAGTCACTTTATCCTATTAAAACGAAGTCGATCCAGCTACTATAAACTATTTTCCTTCTTTCACCGTGAAATTTAATTAAAATCGAAATTGCTGTTTTCTACCGTTTTACACGAACTACTGTATTACCTTCATCAAATCTACTGTAGAAGCCGGTAACCCGATCTCTTGTTTAATTTATTAAATTGTTATATTAACGATGTGTAAATAATCACTAAAATATTTTAATAATTAAGAGAATTTTCCACAATATGAAAGGGAAATACAGTATCTCAATTACTACGATGGCGTTTGTTTTATACGAGATTTTCTCATGAAAAATTTACATTTATCATTTCATATTTATCTTAAAAAATTAAAATAGAAAGTGAGATCATTTCTACAAATACATTAGTTTCCTGCTTTATAAAAACTATTTCCTTTAAAATTATTTATATAATTTAACCTTACTAGGTTAAGAATTTATAAAATCTTAATTACATTTATTAAAAATTTCATCTGTTTAGAACAGTTTTTTAAATGTAGCTAAGAAAATTAAAGATTTAGAATTATATTTAATATATGAATTTAAATAAAAAATGCTATTGTAAAGAAAGAAGGAGGATAATTCTATCTTTCAATTTTCTTTAGAACAGATTCCTTAAGGAAGACAATTAAATCAATCTTAAGGATTCTGTTAAATTTTAATAGAAACAGAATCCTTAAGATTGATTTAATTGTCTTAATTGTTCTAAAGAAAATTGAAAGATAGAATTATCCTCTTTCTTTCTTTACAATAGCATTTTTTTAAAATTTAAATTCATATATTAAATATAATTCTAAATCTTTAATTTTCTTTAGCAATTAACAGATTCTTTAAGACAATTAAATTAGTGCATTTATTCCAGTTATTTTATTATTAGATATTGATTTTGTTGATCACAATCAAAACAAAACTGGAAAATTAACTTAAAAAACGGCGATAACGCAATCATCTATAAAATAAAATACAAGTCGACCCCCTATAACACTGTTGATTATTCCGTTTTATATGAATTCCATGTTGTACGAGTCACTTAGATTTTACAAATACATGAGCCGTTCACAGCCCGGTACACCTATTTATAAAATCTAAGTGACTCGTACAACGTGGAATTCATATAAAACGGAATAATCAACAGTGTTATAGGGGGGGTCGACTGAAGACATTTTAATTGTATTTTACACGTGAAAACGGATTCAAACGGAAGACAACTACGTATTGTTTAAGTTAAGAAATGATTACCCTGGTGGCGGATTGCGATAATTGAAATCGTACAGTACATCGGAATATTCGATAGGGGGAAAAAAGTGAAGCAAATATAATTAAATGGATGACTCTGTTTCTTTATAAGAACAATGACGCTATCTTTACAACTAAATAAAAATTCCAAGGTATCGAGTAACAAACACGAACGACAAACGAGTTTTTTTTTCCCCCGGAACAGGTTGCTAACGGAACCACCGTACGAAAAATTTTGTTAATAATTAAAATACAAACAATAATAATAAAATAAATAAAAAATAAATAACAGAAAATTAAAAGGAAAAAAGAAATATTGTATTCTCATTAACCTTGCGAGTCTCCCGCTGATAGAATTATGTCATTATTTACAATACCTATAGTATTGTCGTCTGCTTCCTACTTGACGATGATGTCATCGGTTCGTATTCAAATTTTCCTTAAATTTCGATTAATAATCGTTTAAACTTTTTATCTAAAAACGCTGAATTAATTTTATTTCGACTTTTATCGATATTATAATTAATGCTAATAAACCGAACTCGAACTCATTAAAATTAATGTAAACAGAAGAAGGAAACTGGCAACTCCCAAGACTAATTAGGGTGAAAATGTATTTTATTTATTTTATTTTCACTTTTATAATATTAACAATAATAATTAAAATTATTACATATTTTTCGATATTTTAAAATAATATAATAATAATTAATAATAATATATTTATGCTGTTTGTTTCCGATGTGTTGTATTGTATTGTAGTAGCGGCGGCCGACATTTTCTCTCGAAACGACAGTTTTAAAATGCAAATTTATCCTTACGAGAGAGAGAGAGAGAAAAAAAAAATGTTTCGAACAATAAAACAATATCCCTATACTAACCTATTTACTGTACATTCAAACATTTGTTCGAGAAATAAATTTTAAACGGGAAATAACCTTATTTTAATCCTTTTTTTTCTTTTACTCCTAAAATTTTAAATTCTAGACATTCAGTTATACCAAGGTCTAAGGTACCGAGTAAGTTTTTTTTTAAAATTTGTTAATTAAATTATAACAAACAACTGTGCGTCGAATATAAAGAAACACTTAGATATATATTTCGGAAGTATTCCGCGATACGTTTGTAATTTTTACAAGTAAATATAACCGTAAATCATACATTAAACTAAAGTTATTTAGTTTTTCGTCGTCATGGCTAAAATAATACCAGATTCAAAGTTTAAAAATAATGAGGCGTGGTTTATTTCGTAACTATGACAATACGATGTTTGATTCAGGTGTGTCTAGATATTTCTCCGAAGCATTAAAATGGCCTTTTCCTCTTTTTCAAACCCGATACGCGCTAGAGAAAATGAAATAAATCACACCCGCCAGCATTTACAAAATACGTGATTGACGTTATCTACAATAGAAAGTGTACCAAACGCGTCGGCGGTGGAACGAATGCACGTAACAAAACGCACGGAAAAGTTACGCATTCCATAATCGTCCAACAAAATGACACACTAACTCAGAAACTTTGACATTCAAATATGTTTACGGGAATTTTTTTTTTCTCTCTTTCTAATAAGGAAAAATAAGAGAGAGAATAAAATAAAAAATAAAAGGGAACAATCATCCGCGGCGCTTTCATAACAAGCCTATAAGAACTACCTCCACCAAATTGGTTAATTTCGCCAGGGGGCACTTTTAGAAACGACGACCTCCGGAACGAGATTTCTACCGAGAGGTGGCGCTCCGGGACCACGTGCTGGTGCCGCGGCCGTAGACGACACAAGCGCAGAGTCAGCTCGCGCGCAATCTCATCCCGTACATGTCTGTGAAATCGGTTTCGGAGGAAAGGAACATACGCAAAATGGGGCCAAACTGCATCGGTATCGTACTGTGTCGGCGGTCGAGCGACGACCTGTCTTCGTCTCACGACAAATCGTCCACCACCCTTTCGGGTCCGGGACCTCCCTTCGACGGATACCTGATGTACGAAGAGTTGGTACACGAGAACATGCAGTGCTTCTGGAATCCGTGCTTGCTTCAGAGTATGGCCAAACTACACTACCGAGGATACCTGGTACCCGACACAATCCTTGTTGACGGATCGGAATATACCATAGAAGTCGTCAGATCGGCTTGGAGGAGGAGGGTGTTGCTCCCACCCCAGGGCTACGAGATCGAATCCGTAGGTGAGTATTTGCGTTTAATACAATTCTGTACACAAACAGGTTGTAAAAATCCCCCAACACAAGTATAGCGATGATGAAAGACAAAAACTGGTTCTGGACGGATTGCTCAAAGGCAGATTTCGTCTCGATCGAAGTTTTTTAAAAAAAAAGTTTGGGGTGGAAGCGGATGGGATATCGTGCTAAAGTAATATTTGCTTACATGTACGATCCTTCGAGCGTAACCGACAATGAGTAATCTACCGCACGTACGAGAAAACACAAGCGCACGTTACCCGGGTGTATTGTCTACCCCACACGAGGATATTGTTATATATATTACATCGATGTACGCCATGTGTTATCGATGAACTTTGGTTGATCGAAAGTCGAGTTGGCTTTGCTCGGAGACTGTAAACAAAACACAAACGTCACATTTAGAATGGTATTCTCCTCTTTTCTACACTCGGACGCACTTCAATAATCGCGAAGGCTCACGCTCTCTACCACCAGAATAATGGAGAGAAAGTTATTAGTGGAAGAAACTGGTAATCCAAAAACCCAGTTGCGTAGAAAACGAGGTGGGCCAAAAAGCTAATCGTGTGTATTTGTATTATTTAAAACCTGGCGTCTACCGAAATTCGTAAGAGACGGAGTGAACTGGAAACCTTTAAGACGATGGGGGGTTTTTGTGCCTCTCAACCGGATATCTAGTTCCTATCCTCTATAAAGAGCAAAACATTTCCCGCATATAACGTAGCGCGTGTTTCTGACGAAACCGATAACGTAATCGGCTTAACCAACTCGACCTGGATACGTGTATATCGAGATATTTTACGCAAACTTTACGCTTCGACCTTTAACTAAAATAGATATGATCCGAGTTGTTTAATTTAAGAAGCCGGCTGTGTTACAGAAAACCGACGTAACGGGTCTTCTTACTGGGAGTCTTTGTTGATTCGTAGGCCATTATTCCCGATGATGGCTAACTTCCTGTTTGCCAGCCAGCCTAACCTGTCCAGTTATCCCAAAGATTAACGTTTAGGTCAGTGGCCTCTTCAGCCCGGTTGTTTTTCAAAATCATTATCGCCGAGATTGAGGGGGGGATTAAAAGTAGAATCTCGATCGATAAGTCTGCAAAAAATTCGATTAAATTCTTTTTTTTTTTTTTTAAAGTTGGATTGTGTAGGCGGTTTGTACGGCCGAACAGAAATATATCCACAACTAGTTTTCTTTGAAAACACTTCCTACAATTCAAACTGGAATCGTGCTAAAGAAGAGAAAGCGCTTTATCTGATAAAGTTATATATAAATACACTAGAAACAATTTAGTTGTTAGTAGGCGCTGTTTACGGGACAGGTCTCTTCTCGGCTTTCAGATAAAAGCATCACCTCCCATAGAGATTGAAAAATTGCTCGAGATTTTATCGGACACCTCCCCCCCTTTGTACTATTGTGAAGTAGGGAATTGTAAGAAGACTTAACTGGACAAATGACCCTTAGGTATCTTCATAAAATCGAATTGGGTCAATTCGAGGAGGGCCTCCGACTCTAATCGGTCAACAACGAGGAAAATCTATTGTTTTACCGTTTCGCTTGGAAACCGTATTCACTGTCAGGGTCACTATGCTCCGTTACAATACAAGAGAGGGGAGGTAATCATTCGATACCCGATATTCTACAGTAATTGTTTTTAAATAAGGGATTCTCCTGCAGGATGTGTCAATTTTATTCAGAAGTCAGGGTACGTCAAACGAGGCCAGAGATGACCATTTCGTATAATAAGTCCCTCAACCTCATTCCTTAAAATCCAGTTTACAGAACAAAAACCACTTTACTTGGGCGTCGACTGTTAAAGGAGAATCATTGAAATTTTTATCATCTTTTCACTAAAATAAAGTGTTCTTCTCGGCTTTGTGTTTACCTACTTCCATTATTATTATTATCATCATGGCGGGTAAAGAAAATTGGCGTGATTAATACAAAGTCTAGGACAATGTCTTTTGTCGCCTGACCATTTTATTCGGTTATAAAAGGTAGTAAACTTTCTTCCACGAAAGTCTATTAAAATTTATAGCGGTACGTTACGAAGTTATGTACTCTTAAGAACAATACTAATTAAGTTTTCGAAAATATTTAATAAATAAAAGTACATTACGGGATCGGAATTTCATTTCACGCCGCTTGACTCGTAATTGTTAATCTACACCTTTAGTTTTCGTGCCTTAATGTCAGACTTAATTCTAGATCCAGTTCTATTACGTGACTCCAGGCTAAAAGACATCCGTCAACTCCTAGAACACTTTAACGATCGATTAGTAATTTGCCTCCCTCGATCGATCGATCTAAATGGATTTTATTGATGGATAACCGTCTTGGGCGGTTAATTCCTACCCCGCTTCGTGTCCACTTCGTCACAAAGCGCACTTGTCCACGTCCACCTTGTCACAAAGACCCACTAAACCAGTTGTTAAGTAGAAGATTTCCTAAAGGAGTAAAAAAGAAAATCAACATCTGTTGATGGTTCCGCTCCGGCGATTTAGTCGCGCCTCTTAAAAAAAAACTGTCAACGCTCCAACAGCCAACAGTTCGGAGCGAGTTCCGGGTCATAACTATAGTTCCCACGTTTAAATTAAAGTTTTTACAAGAAATAAATTAGACAAAAAGTCTACAAACACAATTCTCGAATGGAAAAATAATAATAATAATAAAAAAAACAAAAGAATCTTTCGCACACGAGGAATGCGGAGTCGGGCTCGACGACTGGTTTTCCTGACTTCCAACATTCGCATCTGCCTAACGACCGAGATTAAATGGTTTTCTAACGAGATTTTCCGTTCGTAATTCACTTTTAATCGATTAGAAACCGCAAAAGTTTGCAGCAAATTTACGATTAACCGCGCGCTTTTCCTCGAGGAACCAAGCCTACGCCGTTTTACGCGATGGTTACCCCTTTTCTTCCATGCGAATCTGCATCAAAACACTAAAATAGCACGCGAAACGTTCATCCAACCATCAAAATAAGGTTAATGACCCACTCCCTCGCGTAATGATGCGGTATTTTTTATATATATATTTGTTTTTCTTTGCAGGTGATATCGATCACATCTCAGTCACGCCCATACCCCAAACCCAATTCGCTCCCCTGCCAGAGGCCGTTTGCAAAGTCATCTACGATTTGAATTCCGAGGGCACGCTAGCTACTTGTGACGTCATCGCAGCCAAATTGGAGACGTCGTTCCCCTGTATGGCCGTGCCGGGAGATAGCATCCTGTACAGATGTCTCGGGGAACTGATTCGAGAAAGGAAATTGTACCACAATGGTCACGGTTACTCGGTCGTGACTCCAGATACCTATCGACGAACCGCTGTTTTGCCCGGTCCGGACAGGCAGTTGCTAATGACCAACGAAGAAGCCATCATGAGGATGCACGCCCCCAGCAGGTCGACTTCGGTTCAGACCGATCGAGCACTCAGCACTTGGTCCAGCGCCGACAGGATCGTCACCTCTAGCCCCACCGAACAAAAATTAAAGAGGAGCTACTCCCTCAGGATACTGAGGCCCAGAGACGTTCACGCCAACAGGTCGTCCACGGAAACTACCAAAAGTATACGAGAGTTTTTTTGTTTTAAATTTTAGGACGTCACAAAATCGAATTACGATTTATTTATTTATTTATTTTTTTTTTGTGTGTTGTAGAAGAAAAGGTTTCCGTGTTCAGCCGTTGGTTTCGAAGGAAAAATCACAAACACGAACCCCCGCCCTCAACTGCTACGACAGAAGTTACGCTTCACTCCAGATCGACGCAAACCAAGGTAAGTCATTCGGTTACGAGATAACATTTTAAAATTCCTTAATCGTTAAATCAGTCGGTCGGTAAACGAGATTTATAACCTATAATGGTCAATGAAGCGAAATTCCAAGTCATTAATCCAGGTGACTCATCCGCCAGTTATCATCATCATCCCGGTGGTAAACCGGTCCTCACCCACCTTTTTTTTTTCTATCTTACCAGGGAAGATCAAGGAGCGTGGGAAGATCGTCGAGCCGGAGTAGTTATCGAGATGCGAGTCCGAGCCAAACAGGATCGAGATCTGCCAGCCTTCCCAGACGAACCTCTTCCCAAAAAGCTTGCCCTCTTCACGGAGGAAGCGTCAGGAAGACTCGCCCCGTAACCTACAACGGTTACAGGGAGGGATGGAGCGAGAAGCTCAACAACGGCGACTTGGCCAGGAGGGAAAACAAGCCGCTCAACATCACCAACAACGAGTTTCGCAGATTGACGTCACCTCCCCAAAGCCCGGGGTGGAATTCTCCGGCTTCGGTACTGGTGGATAGATTGTTGCATCCCTCGTATAACTTTAAAAATGGCGTCAACAAACCGGTGGAAGAGAACGCCAAAAGGGCCGAAGTCGGATCGACCGATTGCAAACCAGTTTCCAAACCGACCCCCATCATCGGCAACTCCATTGACGTGGAAATGACATTCGATGGTAAAACCAGGGTTCCTTCCGTCGTTAGCAATATCGAAACCTCGTGGAACCAGACGCTACGTCCGGGAACCACCACCATAGTCACTAACGTCAGCACTAACGTCTCGAGGGTGACCAAAGACAAAAACACCGATACTCCCGTTAAAAGTAAACTAGCAGAAGCCAAGGCTGCCTTCTTTTCCGACAAACAGACGGACTGTAAAGACGACAGTGGTTTCTCTTCGGTTTCAAGCCAGCCCGTTAGTGTTGCCCTGTGACGTGTGCCATATCGATCACGTAGACACATTTTTCTGACCGAGTGATCGTGATTCTGGTAATCCGATCACTCGGCCTCGAATTATATATATATATATAAAGATTTTTTTTTAAAAAATCACGTGATTTCATGCAAACATTTAAAATTCAAATTTTATTCACACCGAAATATGTCTTCCATTATCTGCGTTACTAACCTCCTTCTCCCCCCTTTTTTTTTCCGTCATCCAATGAACTATACGTGATTATATTTCGATTGAGGATGGATTCCTCGTTAAATATATTGTTTTTATTTTCATGTATACTCTGATGGGAATTATTGTATACTAACTTATTTTTATAAAAATAAAAATCCTACAATGTATTATAAATCACGTCACGCCTTCCCTGCTAAGGTTATCGTCCTAAATCTGAAACGGTACAAAGTTTCATTTTTCGTCAAATAATAATTGCAGTCACGTGAATTTCGCACCAAGTTTTTTTTTTTTATACAAGTCGACCCCCCCTATAACACTGTCGATAATTACATTTTATATGAATTCCGTGTTGTACGAGCCACTTAAATTTTACAAATACGTGTGCCAGGCTGTGAACGGCTCACGCATTTGTAAGTTATAGGGGGGTCGACTGTATCTAGGTGATACATTTTATATTTCGGCCACACGAAATTCTAAATTGATCCTCCCAAAAAAAAAGGGGTTGAAATCTTCCTCGAAATTACGTAGACTGTGGAATTAATTAGGCATGCCTCATCACTATGACGCGATGATTATAAGTGACGCCACCATCCCTTATCATCCCATTAAATGCTAATCGTGATTAAAGACTTATTGCATTGGAGTAACTCGAGAGGAATTTACAATCGCCATTCACTCGGACGAATTTTAATTCAAAATGGAGGCCAAAAATAAATAAATAAAATTCAAGGTCGGCGTGGCCGTACGTCTTAATTGTGATAATCCCCCTAACAACTGCATCAGTGTTTCTGCTTAATTACATAATTAAGCGCACTGTTAAATAATTTAATTAACGATCAATTAATCCTAGTTTTGTGTTAGTTTATAAATATAATAATAAAGCGCTTGTCGGATGTTCGGCCAAGGGAGATTTTTCTGTATTCAGATGTAACAGTGCGTTGCGTTACGTCAATCTATTTCATATCTTCACAGGGTCATGAAAGGTTAGCATTTTTATATATAATTTTTTTTTTCCTATCCTTTATTCATATATTCGTTCTAGATACATTTTTCTTATTATTAACGATTGATTGCTTCGTTCGTATGCATAAATTTACAACTTTTTAACACTCTTTTTTTTCTTTATTAAGTAAAGAAAATTAAGAAACTTTATCGATGCGTGCACAAAACCCGGCACAGTTCTGTAATAAATAAACCTTTACATCGGCTAGGTATCGATTAATTTGTACAGGTGTTACTGTACTTGAATACGTTACCGAACTGAAACGTAATTTTTAAGAAAATTTTAAGTATTTAAATACCCGAACGAGTTTATACTAGTTTGGAGTCGTGAAACTTTATAGATGTTGAAAAATTTGGCATTCAGTTATCGCACACCTTAATGGCGATCCGACATTACCGGTTAGTGAAAGCGTAGGCAATGCTTCAAACGTTTTAAACGGGTAATTATTAATCGCCTATACGCAACCTACTTACTAGAAAGTTTCTAATTAAAAATTTAAGAAGGAGGAAGGAGGAGGAGGACATCTTTGTTTTACGAAATAAAACAAACATTGCGAAAGAAATTGTTTGCTTTAAAATGAATCGAGCGGTTGCTGCCGTTTCCTTTATTCCGATTGCCTAGAAACAATTCGACACCTTTAGATTATATTTCCACTTACTTTTGTTGTAATTCGAGACAGGCTTTAAAACTCTCTCTCTCTCTCTCTCTCTAATAAATCATCGCCGAGTTGACGTTTATCATTTCTTTTTTTATAGGGAAAAAAATGGTTGAGATCCGTGTAAATGCACCCTATAGGGAAAATTTCGAGGCAATCCATCAAATATTTTGTCTACGTGAAAATTATCTTTCAGCTTGTTTATATATAATAAGGGAAAAACCTGAATGTAATCTAAATTGTAGGATATTTTTACGTGAAATTATGGTAGAACGAACACGTTTTTAATATAAGCAACACTTCGTTTGTATTTTTCTACACGAATTTTAATAATAATAATAATATTATTCTAGTTAAGGAATTTTATAAAAAAAAAGGACTAAATCTACAGAATAATTTCCCTTTAGGGAATTTTTATAAAGAGGAGGGCGGGGAAAAAACACTCCAATCGACGTCAGTGTGCGTGAAAATTGTTCCCGAATCTATTGTTATATCATTGTTCCGAAACCCGATTTGTTGTAATGGATACTCCTTTTACAATATACAATAACTATATATTAAAAAAAATCCCTAACGTTGGAGAAATCGTACTCTAATCGTCCTTGTAGAGAGGAAATCTCTAGATAAAGCAGTATCAGAATTTACTTTTATCACTATGGAAGTAAACTAAAATATTAAATAACTCGAATAACGAATATTTATCTATCTATCTGGCATTAGCAATAACCAATAGAAATAAATCTTAGATTAATATCTATCGATCGATAAAACAAGGTTCGAGAGTTCAAATTTAGGTAAAAAAAAAAAACAAAGCAATTTCTGGTAGGGGTAGGTAATTTCTGTTTTAGGTCGCCACGACTCCACGTGACAAGTTTTAATTTGCACGGACAGAAAGAACCTGTAATGAGTAATATATTTTATGCGTCGAACAATTGTGAGAATTAAACCAAGTTATCAGACATTACAATAGAAAGAGACAACAAAAGGGTGTCTTTCCCGTATGATAAATTATATAGATTAAGAGAGAGAAGGGGGTGGGGTGGGGGTAAGTCACACCGAGTTTATCCGGAGACCAATAAGTTCTTTTCGCTTTGCTGAAAATGAATTTTTCAATATTTGTCATCGTTCGATCGCCCCGGGCACGTTTCGGAATTGTTTTGGAAATTTTCCTACCGCCCAACGCGCTCGGAGAAGAAAGACCAGTTGGAAAGTTTCTTGACCGAAAAGCTAAGAAAATCACACGACTTCACTCAAAAATAATAGAAGAAAAGAGTCGAGGAGATGATTATCCATTATTGTCGTTGGATTCACTCGAAAAAAAAAAAAAAAAAAGGGTACTTAGACGTCAATAATTGTTAATCTCCGACCGATCTGACATCTTAACACTCGATGATGGATGGTAATCGAGCCCGAGATGCCGTCCAGATATAGATATTAATTAACGAATTATTAAATTTTATTTTTATCGGATGGCAAAAGACAAAAATCAAAGGCATTGTCCCCAAGTAGTGTTTTTTTTTACGGCGAAGTAAAAAAAAAAATTAATTAATTTCTAATTATTATTATTATTATTCGATAGCACGATAAAATATCGAAATAATAGTAGAAATTACTCGATTTGCTTAATTTAAAAAAAAATAATAATAATAATTTCGAATAATTAAAGTACTGAAAATGGAAGACTTTCCATTTACGAGCGCGCCATCTGGTTTTAACTAAACGCATTAAATTTTAAATACATTTCAGAAATTCTAACTTTTAAAAATAAAATAAATACAAATTCGAATAAAAAAAATACCATTTCCAAATTTTAATAAATAAATAAAATTTAAGTTACTGTATTTTAAAAAAAAAATTATAAAAAAGCGCCATCTAGTAACATTAAATTGCAAACAAATTTATTAGTCTACTATTAAATGATTTTTTTTAACACATCACATTGTTATTACTAATCTTATTTTTTTTTCAGTATTAATAAGCTGATTAACGAGTTATTAAGCCCCTTTTTTCGAGAAACGGGAAAATTATACGCGATAACAGATATTTTGCCGCTTAATTAGGTTAATTCTGATATAATAAGATTAATTATTTCGCAGTATTTTTCGGGAACAGTTACGAAATTTATTTTGATTGGACGATTATAAATACAATATATATATTAATTCCTAATTATTATTATTATTACATCCCCGACCGATTTTAAACCTATAAACGTAACAGAGTGGAATAATTAGTCAAGAATCGGAAATGTATTTTATTTATTTTTTTTCGAATTTTAAACCAATAACCATTCGCGTATTGCCGTGAAGCAAGGCGAAGGGTTTCCCACCAATAAACGTAATGAATGGATATTAAGTCACACGGGATGTTGCGCGGGCGTGTGTGACGTAGCCCCGTTGCCTGGATACCGTCCGATTTGTTAGTGGACCACCATATTGCATTCCGTATTTTGCTATGGAGAGATTAGGATGGTTTCTAATCGTCTCCGTCGTCGGGGCGGCTTTCTCCGACGACGTACCGACCGGCTTCGTATTTAAGCATCACGATAACGAGGAACTGCTCCAAGTGTTGGTGGACGTCCATAACAAATGCCCCAACATAACTCGATTATACGAATTAAGTCACAGAAGTGTCAATGGTCAGCCTCTTCTAGTCTTAGAAATGACTAAAAACCCGGGCAGACACGAGTTTTGTAAGTATCTTTTTGCTTTTTTTTTTAAACTCTATTAATATCCTACATGTTATTGTATGTTTATGTTCATAATATATAATTATGCCCTACAGTATGTTTATACTTCAAGGCATGAATCACTGATAACTTCAGTCGTCAAGTACATCATAAACAAATTTATGCTAGAAACACATGGCGCAGACATTAAAAATGGCTCTTAATATGTAATGATACATTAATTACCTATCTCTGCAGCTTAAGCTATTTTCAATTAAAATGTGTGCTTAATGACTTCGAGGAATTACGACCGTAACGCCTTTTAATTACGGAGAATCGACCGTTTTAAAAGTCTTAGTTCGACGAATGGATTTGGTGTAACTCGTCCCGGAATTGTCTGCGATGCTAAGAAGCCGGGTGGAAAAGAACGTGTGGATTAATCGTTCTTTGTGTACTCTTATCGGACGACCTTTGATAAAGCCGTGTTAACACATGCATTGCAACTGTACGCATCAATTTTAAAACGGCGGCAGCTGTTTGGAGTTTCGCAATTATTCTAATTTTTCGGAGAATTCGAAATTTTAAATTAAATTGAATTATTCAAATGATCTTAATTAAAGCAAAATAATAAAAAACCTCGAAGCAAATTTTTTTACTTAAATAATTTACTATTATAGAAAAGAAATGTCACAATGTCACACTATTATAGAATTTAATTTTATCTCAAAATACCTCTTATATAATCTGTATATAATATTGCTATTTGTAGTGAAGCCAGAGTTTAAGTATATTGGAAACATGCACGGTAATGAAGTATTGGGAAGAGAAATGTTACTGGCCCTGGCTAGTTATCTCTGCAATGAATACGAGCGAGGAAATGAGGATATTCGACGTCTCGTGAACACGACGCGAATTCACATTTTACCTTCCTTGAATCCGGACGGCTGGCAAATAGCATCCACGGTTAGTAAATTTTTAAAAATTCCGATTGTATTTTCGTTACTTATTGATGATATTCTAAATATTTTCGTCTAGAGTCATGGTGATAATTGGTTAAAAGGAAGAGGTAATGCCAACGGAGTGGATTTAAATAGAGATTTCCCAGATCTAAATCAGATTGTTTATGAACATGTTGGTGGTGATGATGATAAATTTAATAACCATCTGTTTTCTAAAGATGCAATAGATCATAAGGTAAATCTAAAATAGCAAATTGCTTATTTGTAATGAAATGTTAAAAACTGCTACAATTATTAAATTTTTAAAATAATGTTATCGCATGATTATAAGCAAAATATTAATTAATTACTATATTATTTTTATGGATGAATATTAGTTTCTAATAAGCAATTTTAATGCGGTCATGAAAATTTAATAATAAATGTTTAAAACATAATTTTTCAATTATAAATCTATATAATTAATTTACCATTTATGCTAACATATTTTAAAATCCAATATAACAATAATAAATGGCGATTGTGCGGCAAAAATATAATAGTTGAATCTAATTTTGATAAAAGTAATGATTATTATTATACTAGTGTTATGAATTTCCAACTTTCAATTATTATAAATAATTGGAAAATATCATAAATTTCATATTTATAATGCACAGTTTCAACCAGAGACCTTAGCCGCCATGAAGTGGATTTTAAAAAATCCTTTCGTTCTGTCTGCTAATTTGCACGGTGGAGCTCTGGTTGCTAATTTCCCCTATGATGAATCTTTCCATCACAGCAGTCAGGAATATACGGCCACACCAGATGACGACACTTTCAGGTATGATTTAAAACACCGGTCGGCAACATTCATTATTATAGTATCGGTTAATTTAATTAATTTATATTTCAGACATCTTGCCATGTCTTATTCGAAAGTTCATAAAACAATGTCCGCCGATAAGCCTATTGACTGTAATGGAGATGACTTCACTCACCAAGGAGGAATAACAAATGGAGCTGCTTGGTACAGTGTTGCAGGAGGTATCGTTGAGATTTTAATTATGTAGATTAAATTTATTATTATTTCTTTTTAATTCATTATTCAAATTTTTTGATAGGAATGCAAGATTTTAATTATCTTGGCTCTAATGATTTTGAAATCACACTTGAGTTAGGATGTAATAAATATCCTCCAGCTAGCGAATTAGAAAAAGAATGGTTTAATAATAAAGATGCACTTATTAACTTTATCTGGCAGGTATTTATATTTCTTTAAAATTTTTAATTTATACAAGAACGTATACACAAGTATTATTTAATTTCAGTCTCATATTGGAGTAAAAGGCATTGTTAAAGATGCAGAAACTGATCAACCCCTTACTGGCGTTTACATTAAAACAGTCAATATCACAGATGATAAACACAAATTAATTGATCACGACGTGACAACAGGTACAGTACATTAAAATTTTCTAACAATGTTTTAAAAAATCCGGCAAGAATCTTTCTAACTGATTACTAATTTAGTTACAAATGGAGAATATTGGAGACTGTTAACTCCGGGAAAGTACGAAATTACTGCACTCACCCCGGGCTATAAAGCGGACACGAAAACAGTCATCGTCACTAATCCGCCGCATCAAGAAGCTATCCGTCTTGATTTTACGTTGGAACCGGAATCTTTGGAAAATTATGATAATGTGGTATGTATATTTTTAACAAAACTTTTAATGTTAAATTAGTATTGGAAAATCAATATTGAAAAATGAATAATTTATATCAAATTATTTCTTTATTATTGATCTATCTAATGAATTATAAATACTATACGCCCTATTTGAATAAATTTCCATGCATGACAACCACATGTAATGGATTCATATTGTTTAGTATTTTTTTTTTTTGAACTGCAAATAATTTGAAAAAAATTCATGAATTACTGGGCTTTAGTTTTAAATCAAAATATTACATATAAACAGCTATATTAAAAAATTTAATATAGCTATTTCCCATTGTTTACAATGCATTTGAAAATAACTTTGTTGAAGAAGAATAAATATATATATATATATTTTTTTATAGCATCCATAGAAAATCTGTACAACCTATTATATGTTTCTAGACTAAACAATATAATGGATCACAGATTTACATAACCAATTTCAAAAATAGTTAAAGCATAGACCTTTGTATAGCAATTTATATAATTTCCATGACTTAACGAACAACAAAACTCAATTGATTGTTTTTAAATATTGTAAAAATAGTTACAAAAGTCCAGAGCATTCTGATTTATTATTACTAAAAAAAATAGATGTAATCTATTATACTATTATTTTCTTAATTCTATATAAAAAATACTGTCTTAATAATAATCTCATATTAATATATATCATCATTAAGATGCAAAATAGCATTTTCTGTTTAATATATTCACTCATTTTACCTATAAAATTTTTACCTTAACAGAATGCCAACACCATTTCTTAAAATTGTAGTAATCTAAAGAACCAATTGAATACAAACAAATCATTTTCTCATTCTGAACAGATAATTTTTTATATTTTTATTTCTCACAAAAGAAGCCAATTCATTATTAAGTAGCATGAGCCATTAATCTGATTGAATATATGGTTAACTAATGTGAGGAATAAGAACGATAATCCCAACTTTTTTCATAAAAATGTCACAAGATTCTGAAGTAATTTGAATCTAAATTCTTTCCCAATAGGCTAATTCCTTATGAATCTATTAGATGACTGAACAATTTCATAAGATATAAAAATATTTTATCGATCTAAATTTAAAATGCATTTTTGAAATTAATTATAAGGGGAAAAGTTCCTGTATTTTTTAAAAAAATAATCTGAACGTAGTATCTTAATTTTATGACAAATCAAAATGTTCTATCAATTGATTTTGTAGGACACAAATACAATCAAATAGTTAGTAGAGAAACGTTTTAGTGATAATATACCAAGAATTTTTAGCATAATTCATTTTTTTAATAGAGTAACCCTTTTTTAATCTGAGTTTAACTTTTTAAATTTTGAGGTCGATTCATACTTTCAATCCAATTTTCATCCATTTAAAAGCAGTGTTTCCCAACCACTTGTCCATGAGAAATATTTGACCATACTGAAACTGATGCAGTATGCAACTTGAAAAAATTGTAGACCATAAATTCCCACTGTCATCTGTCCGTCTTTCCTTAATCTTGAGAACGGAGTTAAATGGATGAAAGACAAGACCAGGTAGGGAAATCTTAGAGGCAGGAGACCCTGATTAACTATATATGAACTTTGAATGCAAATCAAAAATTGTGTTATTTCAATTCAAAAAATTTTCCCTGTAGGTGTTAGGTAGATGACCGGCACAACTCTGTTGCTAAAGGAAAAGTATGATGTACAGGGGTAAGGCACTACTAATTTGAGGTGGAGAGCACACATTTTAAATTAGATACATTAAAAATATGATTAAAAATTTCAGCCCAGTATTGTGATAATGTCACAATAAATAGTTGCTCATTACAGTTTACATTTAAATAGTAATCTAGATTTACTGTAAGTACTTTTGTTACATACAGTAAATCTAGACACATATATAAATGTAATAAGCAAGCATAATTCATAGTAGTATATAATTACACAATGAGAAAAAGTATTATTATTAAAATTACTTTATTTGATAGAAGTATGTATAACACATTAATTTACAACAGAAAATTTTTAAATCTTGACAAAGTTATTAATTATTTTTAATCTTATTTTCCTGAGTGTTGTATATACAGTAACAGAGGGAAATTATGGTGATTGATCAAAAAATGACCCCCCCAGAATTTTACGGTTTTGGACTCGGGACCTTGAAATGTAGAAATGCAAAAAATTCAGGATTTTTTTTTTCTGTATATATGGATGTTAGAGTGTGGGTGGCACAATTTTATTCACCCTTTTTGAAGCTTAATTCTTATGCTTTTTGTCAAGAGTTTCTGAAATTTTGCAGGGAAGTTTGTTTATTAGGGGGATTGATGATATTAAATTTTGATTAAAGGTAGAGAGGCAATGGGAAGATAAAGGGGGTCATGCGTACCTCCAGTAGGGTAAGACTTAATGACAATTTTACTCGTTATTAGCAGTTACAATTTTTTTTATAAAAGCCGTCACTAACCTAAAAGTTAAGCTTTTTATCATTTTATAATAATAAAAAAAACTTTATATTTTAAACTAAAGTATCATAACAGATGGCACCACCGAATGTTGCTGGGAAAGTTAAGCAACCCATTGCTAGATTTTTAATAAAAAATTTAACATATATATGTTAAATGATATTGAATTTGTTGTTAAGTTCCAATTTTTATTTAATGATTTTTCCTTCTTAATTTCAGATTGAAGAATCAAATGAAGATAAAAGATATTATGGTAATACAGAGTTTGCAAGATTTTTAAGGTTTTTTAATAAAAAAAAACAGGTTTAGCAAAGTATAAACAATATAAAAATCTCACTTTATGAAACTTTTTAATTTTCATTTCTGTGCCAAAAAAAAAACACTTTAAAAGTCAAAGATCTGTTTTATTTGAAACTCATTTCAATAAAGACAGCACAAACTTTAATATCTACTGTGCATCTTCAGTTTAGCATCTCACTCAAAAAAATTGTCTAATTGTTAAAATAGTTAAACATATCAGTGTATCTTAGAATAACTAGTCAATCAATTTTGTTTTAATATTTAATATAATTTATTATTAAACTAGCATATCATGTTTATACAGATATAGAAAAGCTTTTAAATATTCATTAATGTGTAAATGTCAATCCTTTTTTTTTTGGTCAGAGCTAAATATTAAATTTTATAGACAGAACGGTACCAGAGTTAATATTCTAGTCATTAAATCAATAAATGTGCAATATAAAAAGAAATATCCATTGTAAATTTATAAATATTAAAAGTTATTTAAATTTATATGTTAATTTATAACATGCTAAAATTCTTTTCTTTTGTTATAAAGTTGTTAAATATTTTGTGACATTTTAAAATATTGAAATAGTTCAATGTTAAAACACCTGAATTATTTTTATGCAATGAAACCAAAAAGTTGTAAATAACTGAAGATTTTATTTTAAATTACAAATTGAAAAATTTCACAATATATATATATAAATGTAATAATAATAATAATACAATAAATCTTATTGAATGCAATATCAATAGTAATAATTTAGAATTTCTTTCATTATTTTAGTCTTTTGGACAATTTATGAGCATACATCAACAATTTTCTATAGCAACATGAATAAGTAAATATCTCAAAATGCTTTCTTTTTTTCAAAAGTTTGTTTTAAACTCTTAAAAATACAAAGCACATCAATATTACTATAGAAACATGCATTAAATACATATATTAATAATTCAACAATATTTTAAACTGATTTTTTATAATTAGCCAGTTGAGGTTTAAAAGTATAAAGTTTTTTTATTAGTTTGCTTTAAGAAAATATTATTATTTTGACATTAAAGATAAAATTAATAGCATATAACAACTTTCAAGCTATTTCTAATCCATTAAATTTGGATTCTGTTAAATCTAATGTACATTAAAATATATCGAATGCTTGTTTAAAAATTTAAAACTTACAAACCAAATCTTAATTCAATAATAGATTAAGATATAGCAGATAAAAATTCAAATATAAATGCAAGCTATTATATTTTTAAAAAGTATTTTTAATATTTCCTAATACAAAAAAAGTTCCACACACGACTTGTAAACACATCAGTTCGTTAACCCTGTTATTTAATTTCTCACAAGTATATGCTTTTGTGTTGATTCAATCAAACTATAATTGGAAGCTATAACCTAAATTTTCCTTTTTGATTTCTTATACGCACTAAAGCACTAAATCTAATTTTGTAAACTGATCATAAAAATTGCTATTGAATGACAATGATTAACTGATTAAATAGCTATCACATTAAAATCCATTCATAAATCATGGGGAGGGGGAAACTGGACATAATATGTTTATAGATAAATAGACACTTTGAACTAGTAGCATTTTTATTATACAAATATTTTCAGCTGCTATTGTCATTCAATTTGCCAGTTTTAACAAAACAAATGTAAATTTGGTTAAAAACATTTGTATGTTGTTCATTATATCATTGTTGTTTTAAATTGCTTACATCAATGATTTAGATAAAGAATTTTTTGTTTGGTTTATTATTTTAATGAACAATGTTTAATTTTTGGATCCAATTTTATTATCCTACGAAGAAAAACATTGTTTTTAATTCTTGTAAGTTTACAGAAGTTTGTAAATGACTTATTAAAATAATTAATAATTAATTTGGACATCAATATAAAAAGCTTGAAATAAAGACAATTTCAAATAACAGTTTGGTGCTTTAGATATTACCATTTGAATTTAAAAACTATTACCCAACTTCACTGCCTGTAACCAGTGTTGTTCTTCTCCAATGCAGAGGACTTTGCAAACGTTTTTGAACCTAATGTGGTTCTTCTTCAGGCGCTATGGAACATCAGAGAGACAACAGCGAAGTAATCTACATCGGGTCCACTAAATGCAAATTAGTAACTAGGATCAAGGAACACAAAGCGGACACCCTACATCATAGAAACAACACCGCCTTAGCAGTATACTCCTCCGACCCAGAAATAGAGCCGCTATTCCCTCTAGCCAGAATTATCCACACCACATTCCACACAGAACACCTCAGATGGCTAGAAGCCATATACATTTGCCTTAACACCCTCAGGAATAAGCACTGCGTTAACTTCAAACAAGAAATGAAGATATCAACAGCATGGGAAGCCTTCCTCAATAAAACTCTAAAGTAACAACATACGGATAATGCGCAAGTCTACAATGACGCCATCGGTCACACGTGACAACGTTCCAGAAAGATTTTCCAAAACAACGGTTAATTCTAGACTGGAAATTCGAATTCATATAGGGAATTCCATAGCGCCTGAATAAGAACCACATTAGGTTCGAAAATGTTTGCAAAGTCCTCTGCATTGGAGAAGAAGAACACCGGTTACAGGCAGCAAAGTTGGGTAATTTATCTACTCCGGTGTTAAAATTTCTTTATAGTTTAAAAACTATTTTGAAATTTTTTGATATTTATCAAAACATGATTCATCTACATATAAAACTGCTGAAAAATTACTTTGAATCCTTTAAACCAGTGGCATTTTAAAGCAAGTTCTCTCAATACATAGTTAAATTATATTAGGTTATTTTATCCCTCTGAAAGTTAGAGAATTAAGTTAGTGCACTAACTAAATATATTGAATACATCATTTTCATTTATGATTTGTTACTTAACAATTACTGTAATATCTTACTGTTAACAACAGAAAATGCAAACTATGATTCCAATAACGGAACACACAAAGAAACATCTAGAGTTTTTCTTTTTGTTTAGAAACTTACATTAATATTCCAAAACAAAAATCTGATCCATAAACACAGTATCACCAGACTGTTTTATTATACACTAACATACCAGGTAATGCTTGAGTTACCTTAAGAAAACATCAAACAAATTTAAAAACTAAACATGATTTTGTTAAACATTGATACACGTGGTAGTTGACTATATAACTTAAGCCTACGTTGAATAATTACTTCCGTCACAGCATTAGAAACTGTCATTTTTCTTCTGATCCTTTCTTAAAATAAATATTGTTTTATTTACATTTCTTTGTACAGAGTTGTTTCATCATATTTTACAGAAAAATTTGAGAAGGGAAAAAAAAATCTCTCTCGAACAACAAAGAAAGTAATTCTTAGCAGAACAATTGGCAATAAAACAATTTAAAATATATCATTTTAAAGAATCATCAAAAGTAAATGGGAAATAATAAGATTTTTTAAGTAAATACTTTTCGAAATATTCACATATTAGGTTTTATGTCGGAATTGATAAACTAAAATAAACTTTTATGGTCATTTGAAAGAAATTTGTGGGCTTTTATGAATTTTTCTGTAAAGTGTAATGAAACAGGTTTGTAACAAAATACATAAACAAAAAGAAAGATAAATTTTGTGCAAACATCAAAGAAAGAGGGGAAAAAAAAAGACAACAAAATTCAATGACAAATCCTTCACCAAATAATAATGGGCAATATAATAAAATGTCTTTGAGAATAGAATGAAGCCCTTTGTAATCCAGACCTAAGCTATAGCTTATACATAAATCCAGCTGTGAGCCAGGCCCATAATAAGGGTGAATAGGTGGTGGGGGACAGGACCTGACATATCCAAGATGGACTGTCCATGAAAAATTCCTGAGGAGTCGTCACCTGGATTTTATCCTGGACTCCAGAATGGCAGGATGACACCGTAACGGTCTTGTCTATCAATATCAGAAGAAAAGCCATAAACAATTTGAGTACAAATTAAATAAGTGATGTATTTTTAATTATCTTTTAATAATGTATTTAACTTTTTATTTGTTTGTATAAACTGCAATTTCCTCTGAACTAACTGAATTCAACTTTGGACTCACATATAGAATTATATCACATAAATCTCAAAAATAATCGAGATTTGGAAAGCTCGTTAAATACATATGAAGAGACAAATGGACAAAGTGCTAACATAAGCTGGATTCCTTTTTTAATTGAACAAACAAATGTTTTGCAAAAGTTTCTAAAAATAAATGTTTTAAATTTAGTTAATTTTATTAAAAGCAAATATTACAATCAATCAAGAATCACTAAGTTTAAATAGCAAATGTGTTTTGATATAGTTATCAGATTATAACAGCAAAAACATCCAGACACACTATAAAATATACGACTTACTTCCAATTCCAAACCAAAACAGTGCTTATTTCAATATAACTTCGTTCACTAACGTTTTCGAACTTATAGTTCTTCTTCAGGTGAACCAACGGACAAATCGATAGTATTCAAATAATCTTTTTCAAACAAATTCTGAAATGGAATATTCTAAGGAATTTCGATTCCTTAGAATATTACTATCGATTTGTCCATTGGTTCACCTGAAGAAGAACTATAAGTTCGAAAACATTAGTGAACGAAGTTATATTGAAATAAGCACTGTTTTGGTTTGGAATTGGAAGTAAGTCGTAGATTATAACAGCAATAATAAGGTAAATTTTTTAGCATAAAATTTTTAATTTTAGAATGGACCTTTCATATAAATCTTAAATGTTAAAAGTTCCAAGAATGGAACTTTGGACGTATTTTACAGATAAAGTACAGTCAAACTTCTAGTCATCAAGTATGATCAGTTGCTAAATAATTCTCTACAAAGGAACAGTTTACTTGTACAAGAGTTATATAAATCAGCTCTACTAAGAAAATTATGAAATACTGCGAGCAATCCCCAACTTTTGGACAAGTGTTCCTAAAAATGTATATGAAAATGGAATGTCTGAAAGTCAAACAATAAAAGTGCATGTTATCAAGGGCATTTCATTTCCAAAAAGCTAAAAACAAAAACAAAAAAAAAAAAAGTTTCACTTCTTAAGTAAATCAATATATATAATAAAGGTAAGTGTACAATGTGTGTGCCGCTAAAACTCAAAAACGAGTCCCGGTATGATCAAGAGAGTTATATGGTGTGGTAGCCCTCTATCCCCATCCATGAAGAAGGTTCCCATTTTTATCTGAAGGGCATGCTGTTGAAGATATAAGGGCTGGAAGTTTCGCACTCTAGAAATTTCTAGAACAGTCCAGAACATTCGAGTGTGTTTGAGAGCATTCCACAACATTCCAGAATGTTCGGGGATGTTCTGGAACATTCGGGAACATTGTGGACCATTCAAAGCCTTTTTTGTATGGGTGGGACTACCCAT